TTCATGGCTCCTCATGCCCTGCCGAGCCAGGGCACGGAGCCACAGTGTCCACACCACACAGCCTGCCCAAGCCCTGCCTCGTTCGCACGGCATTTCCTGAGGGCCTACTGTGTGCTTGGTCTGGCTAGGATCCAGGGATGGGGCCCATGCCGGGAGCTGGGCCTGAACCACTGCTTCTCTGACCCACAGCCCTGTTCTCTGGAGGTGGCGGGTGACACCTCAGCTCATGCACCATGCCCCATGGGGAGCGAGGGGAAGGGACTGTAGGGGATCCTTTGCTGGGCTGGGGGGGGAGCTGTCCTGGCTCTTTGCTGGGCTGGGAGGGGGGCTGTCGTGGTCCTTTGCCAACCACAGTTTAAGGCCTGGGCCCTGGATGTCAAGGGCCCTAACAGTGCAGTAAAGGTGTTAGTCAGAAGCCAGCAGGACGGCCAAACTGGGGACTCCTGTTTCTTGAGTCTCTGCCATCCACAGACTCGCCCTCCACCGGCCATCCACGGGACCTCAACCCTAGCGCGGGCTGGGGCAGATCACAGCACCTCTGAGTCGCCCCTGTTGGCGCCCCCTGCTGACCCGGTGCCTGCATATCCCCAGCCTCCACCTGACCTAGACGCACTACTGCAGCAGCCGCCCTCAGCGGGGACTGCGGCAGCCCCACCCCACGGCCGCGGGGCGAGGCCAGTGGGGGACCTGGTGGAGGGTGGGCATCCACCCGGAGCTCTCCCTGGAGGGCGCCCCAGCCCCTCGACCTCTCAGTGTGCAGAGGTGGGGCGAAGACCCCACGTCCTGCGGCGTCCGCTAGGCACACCCAGCCACATAGAGGGGCCCCGCCCCGGCCCGGTCACCCACTGCACACAGGCCGCAGCTCCCGAAGCACCCCAGGAAGGTGCCGATGTCCCGGAGGGGCATCCGTTTGCCATAAGCCCCGCCACCCCGGACCACCGCCCTGCGAGTGCCTGGCCTCCCTCACCCCGCATTCGGTCCCCGGGTGACTGCTGTCCCCCCAGCTTAGGACTCAGGTGGCGCGCCGCCCCCAGCTCCCCTCGGCGACACTGCGGCAGGCGGAGGGGGTGGG